CTATAAAGGAAGACTGTTACTTATTCAAGGCCAGTGTAATGGAAAATTGTTAAACATCTGCAATATTTATGGGCCCAACAATACAAAAGACAAAATAAGCTTTTTTAAAGAAGTCAATAACTTTTTCATAGCAAATAATATTTTTAATAACTGTTTTTGTGGTGGTGATTTTAATATTTTGGTTAACACTAAGTTAGACAAATATGGTGTAAAAACTACGAATGATAACAGAAAAGGATCTGATGCAATCAATTTAATAATAAAAAACATTAATTTATCAGATTTATGGCATATGAAGCATGATAAAGAGCAGCAGTTTACCTGGAAACAAAATAAACCTTTTGTGCAATGTAGGTTAGATTATATATTTTGTACAGCAGATTTACTGCAGTTTTGTGTAGATTGTAATATAATTCCAAGTGTTTTAACTGACCATAAATCTGTAAAAGGGATGTTTGAATTCCAAGATAGTAACAATTCAGCAAAATATTTTGAAAACTGGAAATTTAATGTAAGTCTGTTAAAGGATGATATTTTTGTGAAAAAGATTAATGATATGACACAAAATATTGAAACTAATGCCAAGTTCAATGTTGGCTCTAAAAGGCTTAAATGGGAACTGATAAAAAATGAAATTAAAACTATCGCAAAGGATCACTCCAGACTAAAAGCAGCTGATCAAAGACGAGAGCAGTCTGAAATGGAAAATTTAATCATAAAATATGATAAGCTAATTAATTCTGGATCAGAAACGCCTACACTTATTCAGAATAGAGACTCCTTACAAACTCAACTTAATAACATGTTTTTACAAAAAGCTAGAGGTTATCAAATACGATCACGTCAAAAGTGGGTCGAGGAAGGAGAACGATCAACATCTTATTTTATTGGGCTAGAAAAAGCCAAAGCAGCAAATAAAAACATTTCAGTACTTATTAATAATCAAAATCAAAAACTGACCAATTTAGCGGACATATTACATGAACAGTCTCAGCATTTTAAAGGCCTTTATAAAGAAAGGCCTACACAAACTGATATGGAAACCTTTTTAAAAGGAGCTGAATTTCCTAAACTTAGCAAGAACAAAAGTGATATTTGTGAAGGAATGCTGGCAGAAAAAGAACTTCATAACTCAATGCTAAAAATGAAACTAAATCGCACACCAGGTGGAGATGGACTTCCTGCTGAGTTTTATCGTAAATTTTGGAATAATATCAAATTATTTTTCATAGAATCAGTTGAGGAAAGCTTTAATGAAGGTGAACTTTCAATTTCTCAGAGAAGAGGCATGATATCTCTGATTCAAAAGAAGAATCGTGACCCTCTCTATTTAAAAAAATTGGAGACCATTAAGTCCACTCTGTGTAGATTATAAAATCATAGCACATGCTTTAGCAACTAGGTTAAAAAAGGTTTTAAATCTCATTGTACATTCAGATCAAGTTGGATATCTCAAAGGTAGACACATTGATGAAGTGATTAGAAAAATAGATGATGTAATATTTTATGCAAATGAGAAGCAATTAAGGAATGCAAGTATTGTTTATGTTGACATTTTATCTGCGTACGACAGTTTAAACTGGGATTTTATGCATCAAGTACTAGAGAAATGTAACTTCGGACCATCCTTTAAAAAATGGATCAAAATTTTATATACTAATATTCAAAGTTGTATTGTAAATACTAATGGATCAAAAACAGAGTATTTTGGCCTTGAACGCTCAATAAGGCAGGGCTGTAGCATTTGTTCACTTTTGTATATTTTATGTGCTGAAATACTTGCTTGTCGAATTAGGCAAGATAAGGATGTTAATGGAATATTGTTGCCTGGTAACAAGGAAATCAAAATAGCTCAATTAGCTGATGATACAACTTTGTTCCTTGGCAATGATTCATCAGTTGAGAATGTTTTGAATATTTTTAAAGATTTTGAAAAGTTATCTGGCCTAGCAGTAAATAAACAAAAGACTGAAGCCATGTTTATAGGAAAAAATCCAGAAAACAGAAATTATAAGTTAGCTGATATACAATGGACAAGAGAGCCAATAAAAGCTCTTGGTGTTTATTTTTGTACTGATATTGTAAAAGCAAATTTAAAGTCATGGGAAAGTAGAGTTAATCATTTTAAAAACCAACTCACAAAATGGAAAAAACGTAAATTAACAATACATGGAAAGATCACAATCATAAAAACATCAGCACTGTCAAAAATATTATATTTAGCATCAGTGAAATGTACCCCATGTGAAGTTATAGCAGAATTAGAAAAATCAATGTATGAATTTATTTGGGATGGTAAACCAGATAAAGTCAAAAGGTCAACTTTAATAGGTTCATATGAACAAGGTGGTTATAAAATGGTTGATCTAAAAAGTAAAATCAACAGTTTATTGTGTAAATGGGCACTGAATTTACTGGAAACACATGATAATTCATGGAGCATTTTACCCAAACATTATATTAACAAAATATGTGGAAATGATGTACTTTTAAAAGCAAGTGACACTTTTAGCAATGTTCAAAAGTATATACACAAAAGTGTTCCACAATTTTACAAAGATGTATTAAAATCTTGGATTTCTTTTAATAACTCAGCATATAAAGTAATTGATAAAGTAGCTCAAAGTGTATGGCTGAATAAGGATTTTCAGTACAAGAACAAATGTATCCTTTTAGAACGTTTGGTTAAAAAAGATATATTATACTTTCAAGATATTTTTGATGATGAAAATAATCTTTTGTCTTTAAATGATCTCAATACAAAAACCGCTATTAATTGCACATTAGAATATAACATTTTAAGAGGAGCTCTGCACAAAAGAGAGACAGCTAGTGTCAAAATCCTTACAACAAAACAAGTTTATTCTAGTTACATACAGAATTTATTTTTAGAACCAACAAACAGTTTATTAAAGGATGATACAGATGTAGATAAATACTTTCATTGGTGCTTAGCACATAATGTCACTAAAGAGACTAAGTTAATAGTTTTTCAATGGAAATTTTTACACAATATTGTGATAACAAATGATAAACTTTTTAAAATGAAAATAAAGGAAACGCCAAATTGTAATTTTTGTAATGAAAATAAGGATGATTTAGCTCACAGATTTATAACATGCAATTTTGTACTCCCAATATGGGACTTTATAAGAAACAATTGTGAAATAATTTTAAATGAACAAACCATCTTTAAAGGTATTTTAGGTAAAGATAAAGAGTATATTAACCAAGTTATAATTGTTGCTAAGTGGACAATCCACAAGCAAAAGTTGAAATTGTACCAAAATAATAATATGTTACATAATTTTAAAATAGAACTTGAAAAAAGAAACATTGTATTGTAATTGTAAAATTTTAAAAGTATATGAAAATAAATTTTAAATATAAAAAAAAAAAAAAAAAAAAAAAAGAGGCTAGGTTTGCCCCAAGACTATAATGGACCCCTGTTTCCTTTACTCATATGTGTGTGAGAAAGCCTCAAGTAGTGGGTGAGGGGTCACAATGGCTTGGGCTATAAGAGGCAGATGATTTTGTAACCTTGCATTGGGAAAATTAATAACAAGGAGGTGGCATACAATGTGTGCTTTTCTAATCCCTGTCAGACAATTATGAACTATAAAAATGCCACTTTCATTGACTAAACATAATGAAACTAATTTCTAGTTCGTGTAATTCAAATTATGTCATGTAATCGTCATGGTAATTATATACAACTGGCATTATTGAGTATTATAGCTAGGTATGATTTACAATAATTCTAAAGTGAACTAATATTATATTTCATTGAGATATAAGGGCAGTCTAATGAGAGTCTACTGTTCAGGCAAAGTTAGTTTGCCATTATGTAATTCAGGGTGTTTGACGAGAGGTCTGAAATTTATATAAAATATTGTGGAGTATACTTGCATGTCTGTGTATGGCGTCACATGAAAGATTTCCGGGCTAAATCATCAGGAGGGGGTTTGGGCTCTATCTTTGAGTAAGAAACACAAAATATGGAATATACCAATGAGGTATTGCCCACCAAAATACCACGAGAAGTTATCACTTTCTGTATAGTTTAAGGTTTCTTAGACTTAAAATCAGAAGTTAAATAAAAATCATATATCTTGTTTTCCTTGCATGTATATTTCAGTAGGTATTTTTTTATCTGATCTGAAACTTGTACAGACCCTTTAAGTAAATGACTACTCCTTTTTGAAATTCTCATTTAAGTGCTGCAATGATAAAGCTCAGGGTTAACAGAAACTTCGTAAAGTTAAAGAATTCTTAAATCCATTATTGCTATCTTGGATGCAATGATGTCATTGTAAGTCAGAAAAACGGACTGTAGGAATTCCTTACTTTACGAATGTTCTTTTAATGGCCTCTGGTTAATACCTGTAAATTACACAATATTTCTTTAAAGAGATAATAAGCACATTCAAGAGTTTTGTATCTTTTTATGATTCCAGGTAACAATTTGAAGAACCTCGGGTCCGACATTAACAAATTGACAACAAGCAGATATATCCATTATTAAAGCCCCTAATGGATGGTAAAAACAGTAATTAAGGTGCGGAGGAATATAATGGGCGAAACAGTGTTAGATATCAGAGACATTAAGTTAAGTCTATAGTCTCCATACTAAATGTACTTTGTAACTTAAGACTTGATAAATGACTACATCAAATGCGTCAATAAGTTAATCGAAGTTAGGAAGGATCATTAGGGTGTTATTACGGAGTAACAGCCGCTAAAATAAAGACTATAATTATCATAACAACTGTGCACTTTAGACTGGGATATGATGCAATCATCATCGTCAGCTGCCGTATAAAGAGACACTAAACAAATAGAAGAATAGAACAACAGTTTAATTCCACAAAGAGCTTGTGTTTAAGACAAGATCAAATAGTGATACATACAACTGTGATATAAAGAGATATTAAACAAATAGAACAAAGGTTTAATTCCACAGTGCTTGTGAATGAGACAAATTCAAAAAGCCAATATATGAAAAGAAACATTCAAAATGAGCTGTACAAATGCTAACGATGAAGGTGAGATAACTGAAATGGTAATGAAACTACAGCAATTAACAGCAGACTTACATGTAATGTTCAACTTTTAATTACACTGCACAATTGCCGATTCTGTTGTGTATAACTGGATATAGTAATAAAAACAGTATACATAAAGAGGATTGTTTACGTGAATGAGGTAATAGAGACAGGAATATCTATACACCGAAAAGCAAGATAACCAACAACAACAGAGCCATGAGTGACATTGAAGAATTCGAGAGGGTGGTCTTCACGTTTATCAATCCCTGCATTTGCATATTTGGCATCATCTGTAACATATTTAACCTTTTGGTTCTGACACGCAAGCGTCTTCACGAATCTCCATACAGCTATCTCACAGGCCTTGCTGTGGCTGACCTTTCAACTTTGACCTTGACCTTTATACATGGTACTTTCTCAAGGGCATCTGATGACACTAGTTATGAATGGAAAGTATTCGATGTCAAGGTGTATTTCCCACTTGCGAACATGACCTCAACTACGGGAATATTCATCACCGTTGTTCTCACCCTAGAGAGGTTTATTTTTGTCAGGTATCCGCTACATGCGAAAGACATTTGCACAAAGACAATAGCACAACGCGCGATAATCATCACCTATCTTGTGGCCTGTCTGATCAACATTCCTCTATTCTTTTGTATGGATGTTGAAAACAAGCCAAATAGTACAGTGAAGTACCAATACGCTTCAACGGCATTTGAACAAAGTTCAATCTATCACGGAATTACATGGTTCCATGTTACTACAATACAGCTTATCCCAATCTTCATTTTGGGCATACTGAATATCTGTCTCATTATTATTGTTTGGCGGGCCCAGACACGACGTGAAAGTCTCAAACCCAAAATGTCATCATCAACTGAATATCAAACAAGAGACCAGAAACGACTAACGGTCACTCTTATAAGCATCGTTATCCTGTTCCTCATTTGTTTTACACCCTCGGTGATTGCCAACCGGCACATCGCGAGAGGAATCTTCGGGAAAGGAGAAAGCTACAATAACTTTGTCGGATCTACGTTTTTCCGTGCTCTTGCTATAGTTAGCAACATTCTCGTTAACATTAATCAATCCCTTAATTTCATCTTATATTGTGTATTCAATCAAAAATTTGTAAAGACAATGAAGCATATGGTCCAACAATGGAGATACATTATCCTCCACAAAGGACGAGGCACACCCCTTAAATCACTATCCCGTGTTAAGGGTTCGAGTGTATCGTTCACACAATTCAGCAGTCTCTACATTGACCGCACACCCAGTAATCCTAAAAATCTGGACAAAATCATGGCAGATTGTACTTCTGAGAAAAGCCCAATGATGAAGACAAAGCAGCAAGAGGAGCTGCTACCAAAAGGAGCTGAAGAGAAGGTTGAGGATGGACCAGTAGAGTATGAACAAGATGAGGGGGTATATACTATAAATGGGGCTGAAGCCCAGATTGCTACCACCCCACAGTAGCTGACATACAGCGATAATCTGATCCACATGGAATCCCTGTGGATTTTCGGTAATGGATTCAACTTGGATTTGGATTGGCTGTGTTCATAGCCTCATACAATATAAATGAGGCAGACGCTCAGAGAAAACTCTAGTCCTACTTATTGTGTGTGTAAATATTATTATACAACCTTGTACTCTGTATAAGGTTAAATCAGTAGCCTAGTATGGAGAACAATTGAATGGTGATTATGTTGTAAAATCAAAAGTACGAGGGCTGTCCAAAAAGTGTAAAAATGTACATACACAAGAACTATGAAGGAATATAGAAAGATATCAATAAAAAGACAACTCCATATGACATAATTATAGAGATATAGGTCGAAAAGAGAGTTAAGGAAATATGTATTTGTGTATAGAGTATTGTTAAAGTGAACTTAAAACAGAAAATCATACATTACTGTACAATGAAAAGTACCAAAATACAAAGTCAACGTGAAATTATACATGTATGAGATTGGCTAATATGTGTATTTCAAATTATTAGAGAATTGTTCATATACGAACATGTTTATCTGTGCATGTACTGTAAGACATGGCATAATTTATGTAAGGAATGTATTCTAGGATCTTAGGGAACCATAACCTATTTAACATCTTGACTACCCAGAATGACAAGATTTCTTGTTACCAACGAAATGACCTTGAAACCTACTGTAGAATGACGAGATAATCGGTCACAAAATGTTTCACAAAAATTGCTCTAATTTGAACAATCTTCATCCAGTTCATAAAAAATGTGTAGAAATGACCTCTGCTGCCTAATTTTACTAAGATGAGCATCACCTATTGTATATTTGTCTAGTAAAATGTCAAAAACTGGAAAAAATTAAAATTCTCTGCTTTCAAACCAATTTAAAGCCTGGGATTCAAGAGGTTAAGAAGACATCATGCTATCAGATTTGTGAAAAAATAAATGTTAAGATTGGACAAAACAGAGGAAAATGATGCTGGTCAAGATGTCCAGAAAAATGTGTAAGATACATTGTCAGGTTCCTAAGGTTTAATTGTTTCTCTCTTAATGTAATATTGTTTATTTTTGTAGAGTTCATTTATGTAGATATGAAAACTAGATATGTAGCAAAGAACAGAGAAATAATGTACACTATAGTCAGTGTTTTTAGATGTTCATCAATTTAAGGCAGGATTTTTGTCAAATCTTAACGTACACTGAATATTCTATTCTAACATGAGCTTTTTCTCAAAGCCACTATTGAAAATTAAATTCAATGATTTTTGTAACAATAGACTTTCATGAATTGTATGAATTTCATGAAATATTATGAATTATTATGAATTTCCCAGTCATCAAGTTTGAAGTCATCAAAATTGATATAAAAATAGGATATGGATAGTGATAAAAAACAGACCAAGAAAACAATTTCAAGAAATAATTATTTGAGGGACAACTATTAATCAATCAATTCATTGAAATCCTTGATGAGATGCCAAAAAAATATTTGCTTCAATAATGATTTATTGCCATGGAGACCTTTAGTTTCCAAGAATAAAGGAAATGCATAATTATTACGTCTGCATGTCAAAATGAGTTCCTTGAATGTGTTAATAAATATTTTTGAAATGGCAATTGATAAAGAGGTTTAGAATCTGAGACGAACATAATATTCTATTATACTAAACTTATGTCAAAAGTATGATTAAGCACTGTTATGGAAATAATAAAAACAGGGGGTTGGGTAAAGGGGAGAGGGGGGGGGGTAGGGCAGGAAGTGACATTGGGGATATACAAGGAGACAGAAGACTGATTGGATGGAGGTACATTATACTTAAGTATACTCATGATTAAAAATTCTGAATATAATTTTCTAACATAAAGTAACATAAATACCTTAGAAATGTCATATCATAAGTGAAAAGTACACTGGAATACTGGGAATAGGTGCAACATATTGTATATACTCATACTAAGACAGAATGTGCTACATTTACATTACAGTGTAATATTTGAGTCCCCAGGCACACATGTGAAAGGTACTCATACTTCGTGTAATTACAGGGTGTCTCAAAATACACTGGACCAGAGACAAAACATGAATATTCTTGAAATTTGGACATCTGACAAGCTCAAATTATCATAAATATCTGAAAGTTTCACGAAGTATAACTCTATAGTTCTAGGAAAAAACTTGTTTTAGTATTGTCACCCATTTTTCCACCTTTGGAATCACATTCGGCTCTTATGGAGACCATTAAGAGCATGTCATCTAAAATGTTAAAATTTTTCGTAAGTAAATTACAAATTTCTATACATACTTAATAGCAAATTGGAAAATAAATTCTCTTTATAATGTGCAAAGCTCAGCTTTTTTGATGAAAAAAACCCATTATTTATGTTTCAATTGTGTACAATTTTTGGGGGACACCTTGTATGTAGAGAATTTGCATTTCCTGGGCCTAATAACTGAATTAATTGTTAATATGGAAGTAAATTGTGTAGTATTTTATCTCTTTATTATTAATTGTATTTATTGTAAAGTGCAATCTGTGATTATGGCATTATATATGTACGAATGCTAAAATCTGTTCATATATGTACAAATGCTAAAATCTGTTCATATATGTACAAATGTTAAAATGTGTTCATATATGTACAAATGCTAAAATGTGTTCATAATGTATATGTACAAATGCTAAAATGTGTTCATATTGTGAAATAAAAAGAATGGAAAACTGAAATATGAAGTTATAGTTGAATAACCGAAGAATAACTCAGATGTGAGTAGGTAGTTACCACGTTCACCGCCAGATGGCTCATTTGGGTCACATAACATGACGGGTATAGTAGAAAGTATAGCAGAAAGTTCCCTTTAAAAGAGTTTAGCAAATCGAACGCTCGTTTCTGGTTTCATTTAGTATAAAAGGCCTGATCCCGGAATAATACTCAAGGGTTCACAGCTCGAGGTCGTTGTGTCAACACCTCTAACTGTTAGATTGCATTAGTATATTATTGATCGTCACACATTTATAAAAGGGAGATTTTTATTTTGACAAATCAATTTCACATTTATGGGTGAAGTTTCGGGATCTTCTATTTGTGTATGATAAAGAAAAATTGACATCTAAATTTCCCTATAACATATTAGTACACAGCTTGGCATATGAAAAATAGAAGTCATATTTTCAAAAATGAAATTATGAGAAAAACTTGTCACAATTTAGGTAAATTCGTCACCCATGCTCAAGCATCCCCAAATTTAACAGCAAAGATCCAGTAACTACATGTACTCTCCATTTCTCACAATTCAAATGTTTTTAAAATCATGAATTAATTTAACCTTCCAATTGGATGCGTAATTGTCTCTTAGATAATCACATGATCTTCTGGTCAAAAATGCAAGTCTTGTCCAATGTCCAAAATTTGCTCAGAACTTGAACCACTTGTGGATAACTTCATTGATTATGCATGCTGGTCAACTTATAAGAAGTACTTTACTCAAGATTTCAAATGATTTATGAAACTTGCAATGCATCAATTCAGTGAAAAATGAGTGACTTTAAGTGGAATTCTAAGTTTGAAAAATTGCTGTCCATCAAAATATTCAATAATGAAGAAGAGTTGCAAAACTTCACTTTCATACTAATGTATAGATGATGCTGACTTTGACTTAAAAGCTACTAAGTTACAATGGATCATGCTGAGCATGACATCTATTTATGTTATAGAAGACTAATTTCTGATATATATTCAATATAATGGAAACAGAAACGTATCCCCTAAAAGAATTATTAGAATATATGAGTCAGTTTATGATGTGATACTTAAAATATGATTAACATCTTGATTAACATCTTGTTATCATGGTTAAATACAATGGTGCATTTCATGACCCTAAAATAAAAAGGTGCATTTTATGACCCTAGAATAAAAAGGTGCATTTTATGACCCTAGAATAAAAAGGTGCATTTTATGTGCTGAGAATGAAATGGTGCATTTTCATGTTCATTTTATTTCCCTAGAATCAAATAGTGTAAGTCCCTAAATAGTTGAACAGTTCTTGTTTTGCTAATATTAAATTAACCCTATGACATTCAACATTCATGGCAACACATACATAGTGTCAATTGACTACATTCAAGAAAAGATTAAACCTGTCGTGACATTCACAGTATAAAAACTAAACTTAAGGTAACTGACATAAGACTATAAAATGCAATTTCAAAGACATATTTTTTGGACTGAATGCAAACAAAACAAGGCATTAACATGACAAAATGTCACCACCTAGTTGCTCACAATATTATGAGTTCAAACTTAAGTCAGATTTGAACTTCTGAGAACTTGTAAAGTCAAATTTGAACTTCTGAAAAGATGTAGATGATTTTGAAAAAAAAATTGGGTCAATTTGAAGCAAGTTGAAAACAGACCTTTTTGACCTTTTTTGACCTTGAGAAGGTCATTAAAGGTCAAATGTCAAATCTAAAGTCAGATTTGAATTTCTGAGAACATGTAGATGATTTTGAAAAAAAAATTAGTAAATTTGAAGCAAGTTGAAAAAAGACCTGTTTGACCTTTTTTGACCTTGAGAAGGTCATTGAAGGTCAAATGTCAAATCTAAAGTCAAATCTAAAGTCATATTTGAATTTCTGAGAACATGAAGATGATTTTGAAAAAAAATTTAGTCAATTTGAAGCAAGATGAAAAAATACCTTTTTGACCTTTTTTGACATTGAGAAGGTCATTAAAGGTCAAATGTCTTTTCTAAAGTCAGATTTGAATTTCTGAGAACATGTAGATGATTTTCAAAAAAAAATTAGTCAATTTGAAGCAAGTTGAAAAAAGACCTTTTTGACCTATTTTGACCTTGAGAAGGTCATTGAAGGTCAAATGTCAAATCTAAAGTCATATTTGAATTTCTGAGAACATGTAGATGATTTTGAAAAAAAATTAGTCAATTTGAAGCAAGATGAAAAAATACCTTTTTGACCTTTTTTAACATTGAGAAGGTCATTGAAGGTCAAATGTCAAATCTAAAGTCAGATTTGAATTTCTGAGAACATGTAGATGATTTTGAAAAAAAAATTTAGTCGATTTGAAGCAAGTTGAAAAAAGACCTTTTTGACCTTTTTTGACTTTGAGAAGGTCATTGAAGGTCAAATGTCAAATCTTAAGTCAAATCTAAAGTCAGATTTGAGTTTCTGAGAACACGTAGATGATTTTGAAAATTTTTTTTAGTCAATTTGAAGCAAGTTGAAAACAGACCTTTTTGACCTTTTTGGACCTTGAGAAGGTCATTGAAGGTCAAATGTCAAATCTTAAGTCAGATTTGAATTTCTGAGAACACGTAGATGATTTACAAAAAAAATTTAGTCAATTTGAAGCATGTTGAAAACAGACCTTTTTGACCTTTTTTGACCTTTTTTGACCTTGAGAAGGTAATTGAAGGTCAAATGTCAAATCTAAAGTCAGATTTGAATTTCTGAGAACATGTAGATGATTTTGAAAAAATATTTTAGTCAATTTGAAGCAAGTTGAAAACAGACCTTTTTGACCTTTTTTGACCTTGAGAAGGTCATTGAAGGTCAAATGTCAAATCTTAAGTCAAATCTTAAGTCAGATTTGAATTTCTGAGAACACGTAGATGATTTTGAAAAAAAAATTTAGTCAATTTGAAGCAAGTTGAAAACAGACCTTTTTGACCTTTTTTGACCTTGAGAAGGTCATTGAAGGTCAAATGTCAAATCTAAAGTCAGATTTGAAGGTGAAATGTCAAATCTAAAGTCAGATTTGAATTTCTGAGAACATGTAGATGATTTTGAAAAAAAATTTAGTCAATGTGAAGCAAGTTGAAAAAAGACCTTTTTGACCTTGAGAAGGTCATTGAAGGTCAAATGTCAAATCTAAAGTCAGATTTGAACTTCTGAGAACATGTAGATGATTCAGAAAAAAATTGAAGTCAGTCTAAACTGTATTTGTTAAGTTATAGGAAGTTGTAAGAAATTGTTACAGACGCCGGATGCCAACCGCCGGACGCCAACCGCCGGACGCCAACCACCAACCGCCGTCGCAAAAAAAACGGAGACCATAACAATATGTCACCACTTTTGGTGGTGACATAATTAAGAATAAAACAAATTGAATTGACGAATAGATTCAGTTCATGGCAAAATAAATCAAGCGTATGAAGGTTATAGTTTTGATTAACAATCTAACTATAACAAGGCACAGGACGTGAACGAGATCACACCATCAAATAGGCAGACACTATGAACCAGGAAAACTGTTCTCCTATTATGTTTACAAATTTCAAGAACAAGAAAACAAGATGGCCGCCCAAAAGTTAATCAGCTCTAGTACTTGATATCCTCTATCATTTGTGTAAATTTGAAGGAAATCCGATGAGCAGTTTTCCTGAAATGGCGATGACAAGATTTTTCGAAAAACCTTCAAAATGGCCACCAAAAAACAAGATGGCCGCCCAAAAGTCAATCAGCTCTAGTACTTGATATCCTCTATCATGTGTGTAAATTTGAAGGAAATCCGATGAGCGGATTTTCTGAAATGGCGATGACAAGATTTTTCAAAAAATCTTCAAAATGGCTGCCAGAAAACAAGATGGCTGCCCAAAAGATAATCAGCTCTAGTACTTGATATCCTCTATCATTTGTGTAAATTTGAAGGAAATCCAATGAGCGGTTTTCCTAAAATGGTGATGACAAGATTTTTCGAAAAACCTTCAAAATGGCCGCCAGAAAACAAGATGGCCACCCAAAAGTTAATCAGCTCTAGTACTTCATATGCTCTATCATCTCTGCGAATTTGGAGAAAATCTGATGAGCAGTTTTCCTTAAACGGCGATGACAAAAAGCGGGACGATCACGACCACGATCACGACCACGATCACGACCAAGACCAGTATGACGACTATATCCCACCGATGGTGTGATAAAAATATTAATATGAGTGAAAAGAAATCCAAAATAAATGAACAGTTCAATCCATAGTTAGCCTAAAGGATTAAAAACATTTCTGAAAGTTACTACTGAGGAGTATTAAAAACAAACTAAGGTAACTAAATTCTACAAAAGATATGTGAAGAACTGATCTGCATTTATTGATAATGGATTCAAGTAAATTCTTTAGTATATTTCCATTAGTATAGGGATATTTCCATCTCCAATCAAAGGTTTGCTTGAGACACCCCAAGTGGGAAGGATCAGGACTTTGACATGTAGTGCTATCCCATGGAGTAGAATTTTTACAATTACTTCTTCCCTGCCCAATCTTTATTTTGTCAAAACCTCCACCCCTTCCAATGTCAGTGCAATAGGTTTGAATTGATTTATGACTGGGTGTGTAATCACAAAGTTAAAATATATCACCTACTTCTTATAATAACAAATAGGCTATCAAACAGTTAACATTATAAGGAACTTATATCTAGTTAAATATTGACGAGTTATTGATGAAACAACCAGTTCTCAGAACTCATTTTTTATTCACACTACGTAAGTCAATATCCCGATAATACAGCATAGCTTTGTAAACTACATCAAAGAGGTAAGCATTTTGTAAATACTGAGAATTTGTCAAAAGATTATTAACATTGTCATATACTGTACATGTATTTTCGTCATCTTACTGATAAGATGGTTTTTTTCTACAGTAATTAGATATCCAATATGGCTGAGTAATACAAGTAAGCAATAATAAGATTATACTCATTAATAATATGCTGAAGTAAAGAGTGGGCATGTACAAATAAGGGATTTAGCCCAGGACTCAATGCATTGTGGATGATTTACTCCATTAATGTGTTGTTTCCGGATCTTGGCATGAGTGCCGTAGCACAGATGCAAAGTCTAGGAAACAATGCATGTGTGGATTAAATACAAAACAATACTTATATAACTTTATATTTACATATATATGTACAGGGTGGGCCAAAAAACGCCACTTTTTTTCAAAATGCTGTAACTTTTTCAGTTTTTGATATTAAATCATAATTTGCATACCAAATGAAACTTGAGGTTGTTATCTACCCATGGATCATGAATTATACACTTTACTTGAATAAAATATGTCACCAGCATCTCACTTAAACATGTGGTGTGCCATGAGAAATAAGCATAATTTGAAAAATGTTCCTGAACTGATACAGCACGATGATCACCAAGGTAATAGCCCCGATGCAAACCCCAGTGAGTATTGGGTATGGGAAGGTCTCCAGGGGATTGTATGAAGGCACCCAATCTAGAAAATTGCTCAACTAAAGCTGACAATTAAGACAGGTTGAAAAAAACTTAGCTAACATTTCATTGATACTGCAACATCAGCAAGGCGACTAAAACTAAAATATATCATCAATTAGGGTGGCGGACCAATTGAACTCTCCTTTTAGATCTAATATAATCCAAGTTGAAGGACTTGTTACATTATATTATTACTAAGAACCCTTGGCACTATATAACTGCAAAATCTAGTGTATGTAGGTTGAAAAATAAAAAAGTTGTGTCTTGAAAAAAAGTGGCGTTTTTTTGGCCCACCCTGTATATTCATTTATTCAAAAGACATGTATCATAATATTGAATATTATTTTATTAGAAATCCATAGCAACTATAGCAATATTCAAAGTTCATTCATGGGCATTAATAGATAATCTATTGAATGCCCGTGGTACATTATAGAACAAAGGCAACTGCCATAACACTGGGTAAAAATATATAAATGAAAATAACTGAAAAGAATAATGTCACAAAAATGATGATTTTTTCATTACAGGGAAAAAACTGGAACTATCAAGATGGGACGAAGGAAATTTTTCGAACCTGTAGATTACAATCGCATAATAAGAGAAGTTATGGCATCATTCGATCCTCCATATTGCCCGCAGGAAGATATAATCAAGGAATTTGCAAAGCAGGGGGTTTATGGGAAATCTTACCTCCGGTGTAAAAGTTGTGGAAAAGGATGGACTTCTGCATTTGGTTGGGTGGTTATTGATTTAAGGCGCCAAAAAACAGGAAAATTCTTCAAACAAGGATGTGAAAACTGTGCGGCTAAAACAGGACCCTTTTTTCCGAAAGAAATATTTGAGGCAATGGTCGAAATCGCACTTTGGAAGTAAGTATACAGTAAAAAGTAATTAATTTCATGTTTCATACTGAAGGAACACTCACATATAAATATGGTAGCTTACAGAAGCATATATACTCTAAAAAGTATGCTGTTCGACGATAGAAAAATCCATTTTCTGAAAAAGTTCACGTATTCCTTCTAAATCATTCAGCCTACTTACATTCGATGAATCACAGAGTTTTATGGCCAAGTGTTTTATTTATCCATTTCATAGCTAGGAACAGAAATACTCCAAAATCTATACGAACTTCGAAGGACAGGTCAGTCATTTTCTTCAGAAAAATTCACATTGCCCTGTGTTCGAGTGACGTCAGATTTCCAAATATTGGTCGAGTTTATCTAACAGGGGTGAAAAATGACATTTATTTTGACTGCGTTCAGTCATCTCCTTCTCGAGAGCCCGGTGAAGATGTATGACCAAGTCTGATAATTTCTTCTTTACCACATAAAATGAGGAGCTATACTTGTAACTCTCCAATGTAAAGAAAGATGGCAGCGTTTGATATATACATACCTTGTCCCCTACGTTTCGACGAGTCCATTTGTCGATGAAGTCATTGTCTTAGAATCTCTCTCCATGTTGGAATTTGAGATGAATGCGAGGGAGAAATGATTTGCGGGATATGAGAGAAGGGGATTTCTATTCAATTTCCTGTGATTAACTGACAAAGGGTAGGTGGCGCTAGATAAGGCATTGGCTTAACTTATTATATATAGAGGGAATACTTAAGAATAAGGCCAAATGAGAGAATAAATGGAATTTTTGATTGTCGAACACCAGGGTTTTAAGAGTATAAAATGTTTAAATTCTGTTAAAATCACAAAAACATTAAGCATTTCTAGTTCTATGACATCACAATTAGCTTAAAATCCTAGAAACACTTTTTCAAAAAGTTAGGTAAATTACATTTACATTGTTACTTTTATCATGACATGGTTTGAAAGAATATTTCTTGGGTCTGAATAGTGGCAACATTGCAGTTACCATGAAAACCAGCAATTTTGAGAACATTCTCACTTTTTCCGAATTTGTTTAAGTCACTAAGCTTGTCAGTTCACAGTTTAATATTGAATTCCTGTGAATAGGTATGAATACTTCTACTACTCTAAGGAGCCTGGGGACAGAAAACCTGGTGATGGATCTCCTCCCGAACTTGATATCGATGATTTGCCTGAGAATGAGGGTGGGCCTCACAAAGTCTCCTTATGTGATAGATGTATTTTCAAAAGACGGAGATGCTGGGAACATCAGATTCAACCTCGTGTTGATAATGATGGATATATCAATGAGGATGAAAAAGGTAAATGAATTGATCAAAAATGTATAATTATGGAAGAATTTATAGATTTGCAGAGGCATAGTCAGAATCTATAATAAAGTGAGGCAAATATAGATAGGCGAGGTCAATTTCACTTAAAGGAGGTACATTACTATTTAGCTTTTCAATTCTAAAGTTTTCGTTGAAACAATGTCTGGAAAACATACATTTCTGTAAAATTTTGGTGCCTCATGCCTCACTATGCCTATGGAATTGAAAACATCCATACTGCAGTAGCTGAACGAGCCAACAAGTTCAGCATACTTGATGAGATAAATCATTTATAGAAATTAATTGTGTGTTATTATATGCAGTGAATATATATATTAGTACATGGCTACAAAGATATTATTTTACAATGAACGAAAAATCAAGCAATATCCCAAGTTTATAACTCATACATTTATACATTAAGATAGGAAAAGAAGTTGTTTGATTTTATCATCTATGAAAATATTTTATTTTGAATGCTATTGTACATCCAATTCAATATTAATTAGCATTTGTGTTCAAGCAAACTTATGCAAACTTCAAAAACTAAAACTGTATATTGACAAAATCCTTCTTGCAGAAAAACTCCTTGAGAAACACCTGAAGCATGGTGCAGATGACAATGTGCCTGGACTCAATATTGATCACGCAAAAAAGCAGCGTAAAAAGAGAAGAAGAAAAAGAGGTGGACGTAAAAGTCGTGCTAAAAGAGAAGAGGAACAAGCTAAGGGAACTGAAGCTGAGCAAAATGATGGAAACAAGGGGCAAAATGTGACCCCCTCAAGAAATGACAATGAACCATAACTGGGGAAGAGAGGGAGGGGGAAGATTCATAGTATAGGGAGGATGGCAGGTATGACTCTGTCTCTCAAGATATAAAAATGAAACAGTAAGGGAAGGGAAGGGGGAGTTTTATAGTTGGCGGAGGGGGTACATATGACCCCCTCAAGAAATTGACAATGACCCATCATTGAGCAAGAAAGGGGGCAGTTACAAAGTTTGGGGGGGGGGTTCATAGTTTTTGGAGGGTAGCAGTTATGACCCCCCTCAAGAAATGAAAATGAACCAAAGTTGGGGAAGGGTGGGAAGTTTCATAGTTGGGGGAGAGTGACAGTTATAATGAACTATTTCAAATAAAAAAATATATACGGTAGTTTAAATAGAAAATGTAGGGTATCCAAAATTGATTATAAAAATTATTTACAAATGTATATACATGTATTTTTCTATAGACATTATGAATTATATCTGCACCATATCTAGGAATTAGCTTATAGGGGCAACCAAAAAAGAGATAGAAACTAGATAAATGGTAAGGTAAGGTGGATGTCATTCCGAGATATCTAAATTAATTAAACTAAATAGTCAAACAATCCTAAGCCGGGAAATGAATGGCTGGGCATACATTCCTAGCTTTTAAAAAATATTTTTAACATGGATGTGTGAAATGTAAATAAACTGTTTTACTACTGCTCTAAATAAAATTATTGTTAAGAGAAAAAATGAATTTGCGTTGAAGTTTTCTATTCCTTGTTAAAAATCTTCAAAAATGATTTTTTTCTTCTTAGAACACAACATGTCAAGAAATTCATATTTTTCAGTTTGCATAGTTGTTTTAGTTGTCAATTTCATCAGTATTCAGTTTACAGCCAATTGACACCCATACAGGTGTTTATAGTTACTATGATCATATTACATGTTGTATCATTTATTTATCCCACCCTAAGTGCTTTATATGATTGTATAATAGCATTGTATAACTGCAATACACTCATCGTATACAACTATTGAGAACGATATACAACTCCTGGATAGCGTATACAACTCTTCGACTTGATATACAATTGCTCAATTTAGAGTAATATTTTATTGATTAAAGATAAGGGTGGGATAATAAGATCATATAATGGTTGATTCTGTATATCGTTATACTCTCGCGAGTATATGATATATTCACTCATTCCCTTCAGTCACTCGTGAATATATCATATACTCACTTGAGTATAAACACGATATACGGAATCAACCATTATATAACCTCATAATATATCATTTCTGTGTCAATGGTCTTTTATCGTTTATCCAATGAGTGATGCAGTCTTCATATAGATGGCAGGTTACTAATATTTGCTATTGCAGTTAAAAATCCCATTGAGGACCATTATAACGTTTCATTTCATAATATCGTCCCTTCACTATTAAAAGGTTCTATGTCCACTTGTACCATATTTGAGAAAACAGAGAACAAACATTTAGGTTCCTCTATCTTTGTGATACAGTAAAGTAGAATTTTCACATAAATGCTTATGCATCATATAGCCAAGATGAATCATTCCTGATCAGGATGGCAAGAAATGTCAACGTTTAAGGCTACTTTTAAAGAAAATAGTTTTGGAGATAGAACCTTTTGCATCTGTAACACAACAATGAGTTTAAATGAGATAGAACCTTTTATTACCCTGGAATACAGTGCTTGTCAATTAGATGAAGCTATATTTACAGAAGCAAGCCGCACTATTGCGAAGGGTAACCTTTTATCTATCCAGATCGAACATGACAAGTCATTATAACATTTTTACACAATTCTGTTACAAAAGGTGGATGCCATTTTTGTGTAAAATCCAGGCGTGCCTGCAAAGGAATAGACCAAACATCTTGTAATGCTCATAAAGGTGCATCTAATATCCCAGATGCGAGTAGAAATAATCTTGATTTACGTCATCAAAAATTCATAATTCAGTCAAACTGATGTCATATTTGGAATCTACATGTAAAGTTACCTTTAGAAATTATGGTTTTGAAAAGAGTTTATCAACTTTGAAAATTTAATTTTCTTTGAAAATATAACTTCTAGGTCGGGGAGATTCCCCGTAGACCCCATGTTGTAAAACCACAAAAAGTGAAATATCTTTTCTTGTGTTGGGCAGATAATATTTTCTTTTACTGGACATATTTTAATTTGTATAACTATCAGATACATAAGGGTAATATAAAAAGTGAACCACTAAAACTGATGCATATTCAAGTTTAAGGGAATTTTGTAATACCCTGCCATGTTAATTCCCCAGAACCAGCCACCTGGTGGCGGAACTGGTAACTACCTACTCGCATCTGAGTAATTCAGCTAGTAATCTAAAACTTCCTCTGGAGCTGCTCCATGGAGTAAAGTTTTACTATGCAAAAGGACAAGTCAGAATTTATGCAGATAGAAAAAGTTATGCAACATTATGTGGGTAGGTAGCATTTTGTCTGACTCACACTGGATATACCTTGTCGTTAAATGTAAAAAGGTTTTATTTCCAATTTGAATCATGACATTGAATGTTAAAAAGTTTTATCTTAAGAGATATAGAACCATATAGCAGTAACTATCTTTTTCAAATGAAGGACATGTTAGAGATAACAAACAAAAGTACATCTCTCTTGCTAACCACCTTAGTCTGTTTGAATTTTCACTGGCTAGTTTCCAAATACTAAACTTCGATGCGATGTTTTAATTGATGTATATTCTGTTCACTTTTCTTTATCTTGATATGAAATAAGAAACTCTGGTATTGGTTAACACACCAGAAATGAACACAATATTATTTGAAGCATATTTCGAAAATTTTGAGGCCGCTATTTTGCTTGTCGATTTTGACCAATCGGAGACGTATGTCATCTCAATACAGGTTTACATTATAAGCGTATGTCATCTTTGAATTTGGGGTCATTGACCCCCCCCCCTCCTTGTATCCCATCTGTCCCATTGATTTGTGAGTTAACATTACTGATTCAAATATATGTCACATATAATACTAATATTACCTTTCTTCTTCATAACTATTTTCATGTGTTATTTTATATTAGCCTTTAACATGGTATACCTTATATATCAAATACAATATCAGAATGATAGCACTTACAACTGATAAAACACAATGGATGTAGATAAGTTAATAATTACCTACAGTTCTCAGAACTCTTAATTCTATTTTTTACAATGTAATATAAATCTATGTGTCAATCATAGCTTTGTAGATGACGCAAAAAGAGGTAAGCATTTTGTGATTATATTCAATGATATTAAAAATGTGCATGTTATCATTATCAATTTGAATTCCAAAAAGTTCTTTTGAACTGTTCAGTTATTGATTCAACTATAAAACATGTAATGTTAATCTTGATATTAAATTCACACATAGCTAAGTAAGGTGTGTCTGATTCCAGCTAATCCAAACAAAGTATTTCATATGACAGCAGAGCATGAAATAATCAATAGCGCATTTGTTTTATGTCCTTGCCATGGTGATGGAACTGGACTGAGTTGCCAATTTGACCTTTGCAAAAAGTCGGGCCAACGGTATTTGAGTTATTGCCTGGACGGACGGACAGAGGTGTTCCCTATATCCCTCCGAACTTCGTTCAATGGGATAATGAACATTCCTTTCAGGCATTATTTCCTAAAGGTCCATGTGCAGTATGGCAAGTGATTCTAGATACCATATGGGGGCCATTTTTCAAAATGACCGCCTTCTACCAAAAGTGTCATTGGACAGTGTGCCATGCTTATATTATTCACAAACCAAATATGAACAAAATCGCTCCACTACTTTATGAGTTACAGCAAAAATTGTAAAATAACGCGTAAAGACCGCCATTTTTCAAGATGGCTGCCATGTGTATGTATGTATGTATATATTTATTGCCCTTTATATAAAGGAGATACATGTATACAATTTATGTTAAATTGAAAATAATCATTATTTACAAACAAACAATGTTGTTGCTTTTTAACTGACGACGACGCCTAGCTACCGCGTAGATGCACGCCGCCGACCAAGATTGGCCTAGCACCTAATTGTAATGCAATTATAAAAAAGTAACTATATTTTACAAACGCTCATTGCTTTGTTGTTTGTTTTGTTTTGTTTTTAAAGGCCCCATGTAAAGTTTAAACCACTTTGGCTTATACCCAATGTTATCAAAGTGTGATATGTGAAACTTTTTTTTTTAATTTCAAAAAGTGGTTTTTGATAGACTTTTTGTTCCAAAATTTGTGAATTTATTTAAAACCAACTTTTAGAGGTCACTCATATCTTCTAATTAGCCACAATTCATACCAATGCATAGCATACATCCTCTCATGTTTTTTGCCCAAAAAATCAAGAAAATCAGTTAATAAACAAGCGAGAAATGAACTTATCAGTGCATGAAAATGGTTCTGAGAAAAATGCATTTCAAAATTTTAGTTCTCATAGAGACCAATGGTACAATGATATCTAAAACATAATTTATTCTTCCTTTTAACCTGGTTAGACAATCAATATTGGTTTTCTATGAAAGTCTAGCATATTTAGAAAAGATTAACATCGAAAAAAAAAATTCAATTTTTTTCAAAAAGTTTTTGTTACCTTAGTGACATCACTAATGTTTCAAAATATTTTTGATAAGCTAAAACATTGAAGTGGCCCATTTAATATGATTTTATTGTTGAAATAGTGTGTCTTTTGTTCAACCTTTGCATTGGTGTTAAAAATATAATCTTTTTTGAAATGCATTAAGAAATATTTGATGATTAAGAAATTTCAACTTTTTTTGAAAAATGGCGGGAAATTTGAATATTTGAGAAATGAAATGCTCACAACTTTTTTTTCAAAAAAAAATTAAAATCACTTTTTAAGTCCTGTCAAATAGTAAATGAATGATAAAAAAATATTTTCAAACTTTAGACAGGGACTTTAACCAACGACGACGCCTAGCTACCGCGTAGACGAATGTGCTTCTTGAATATCTACATTTCTAGATTTATTAATGTCCTATATAATTTTTTAACATATAAAACATATTGCTATTACAGTTTTACATATTGCACCTAAATTACTGTAAAATCGGCACTAAAGATATATGTGTACAAAATATGAACAAAATCGGGCCAACGGTATTTGAGTTATTGCCTGGACGGACGGACGGAGGTGTTCCCTATATCCCTCCGAACTTCGTTCAATGGGATAATGAACATTCCTTTCAGGCATTATTTCCTAAAGGTCCATGTGCAGTATGGCAAGTGATTCTAGATACCATATTCGCCATAATAAGCGCCCAAGGCGCTTTTGAAATTGAAATTCCCATTGTAACCCATTACAAAGAGCGTCCATATATGAGAGAAGTCAAAAATCCCCGGGAATTTCATATATGGGAATTTTTCTTGCCAAAAATGCCTTATTTGCAACGAAAGTAACAGCATATTTTTACAATAATGATATGTATCATTATTGGAGAGAATACGGTAAAGATCGCTAAAATAAAGCAAGAATCTAACTATATTGACACTGTGATTGAAGAACTCCCCAGCAGAGCCCCTCGAGGTGAAGGAATTGTTTTCCACGATTATCTCCTATATTTCCACTATAGACTGTTAGATATCGATCTAAAGTTATACCTTGTTTTTTTAATTTGATGACAGATCATCATTTTTTCTTGTAAAAGTCGAGAAATCTTAAAAAGAATCGATTTACAAAATGCGTCATGTTTTCTATTATAGCCCACTATATTTCTTTGGAAAGGATCGGTATCGATATGGAGAACTGAATTCAACAATGTTTTTCTCTTAAACCAATTATTGAAAACATTCTGTAAAAAACACGGTCTTTTATGTAATGTTGACTGATTGACAACAATTTAATGCGAAAATAATTTTTATATATTTTATATAACTGTTTTTGTTAATTTTTTTTGTTTTTTAGTGCAATAGTTTTTTGTTCCTTTTTACCATTTCTTGAGAATGAGATAAAATATCTTTCCGAAGCTTGTTTTAACAAAATAGCATATACAACATTTTCTTAGACTTTCCAATATTATAGTTGTACAAAGGAAATTTTGGTTGATTCAACAAAAAGTATTCAAAAAATTAAAACAAAAACCCCCGAAAAAGATAAAAACTAAGATTAACCTTTAATTTCATTAACAAGATACTTTTTTAAATCAACCAAACTTTCCTTTGTATACTTACAATATTGAGAGACTTAAACACGTTGTGTTTATGTCATTTTGTTCCAATGAGGTTCAGATAGATGTTTCATATCATTCCGAACATATGATACCAAGACCAAAAAAAGTGTCCGATGTTTTTTCTAAAACAATACAGAGAAAAGTATATATATCTACCGTATTTCAAATTATATTGTTACCATTTAAAGGATGACCATTAAATTGACAATGTGTAAAATTTTCAGAATTTTTTGATGACTGGTTTAAGAGAAACGTGTGTTCAAAAAGTTTGCCATATCGATACCCATCCTTTGATTTTTTTCTGATATATTCGTTAATACTTGGTCATTCCTCGTTATTTTTGGAACTCTGTGAAGCGGGTTGGGCGCTTCACTTGAAAGAAAAAAATATTGTTTTAATAAAAACCACTGTATTGATGGCCAGAAAGTACCCATGATGAAAGATATGACAATCTAAAATCACTTGCCATACTGCACAATGCACATGGACCTTTACAGTCGATGATAAGCATCTCGTGCAAATTTTGGAGAGCAACACCTTCAAGAAATAATCAATTCCACATTGCACTGAGTCTAAGGCTTAAATCGTTAAGTAACATATGTTATGTTATATGTTTGCTTTGAAAAAATCTATAGGCTGTTGAATTAATGAAGTAAAATTATTAAATATTCAGACTGATATTTTACAGAAAATAAACAAGGTTATAAGCTGGGTCAGTAACAGCTTTGTTTGTACAGAATAAATCCAAGCAACTGAAGTTGAAATGGGTAGATCAAGGAAAAAGAAGTCGCTAGATGCTCAAAAAAAAGAAGAGGAAGAATTTGAAAAGTTCAAAAAGACCGTTGAAGCAGTGTACTCCAAAATTGATACAAAACAAGCACAAGGATATTTCCCGACAAATCAACAAAAACCAGGAAAGAAATATGGGGTGAACTACAATTACATAATTCAAATAGTAATGGAATACAAAGAATATGACCCTAAAAAAATAATAAAAAGGTGTTCAAGGTAAGGAGTTTAATTTATTTTTACTACTTTTATTGATTAACAATATATTCAATTTACTTAACATTTGTATTTTACTGATTGATTGTCAACTAAACCCCAAAAAATGACTCTAAAATACTCTTCAAAAGGTCAAAAATTAAAATCAAAACACCATTGAAGATCCTCAATCAATGTTAGCTATTTTGTACACTGATCATATTAGTCAACTGATATAGGGAAAAGGTCTACATTTGTTGAATAAGAAAGTTTGCAAGGTTTGAGTGGGAGGGGTTAAATGGCAGTTTTATTTGTGTGAAAATTGGTCCCTTGCTCCTGGAAAAAAGTAATATTAGAATGATGCACTTTTATTAAGAAGTTGAAGTTAGATCTGATGAATTTATGAAAGCCACACATATCTAAATATTAAAATACTAGTCAAGTTGAACAATTGTAATCACAATCAAAATTTGGAAAAATGAGCACTTCTCAAGTTTTGTTACAGGGGTGGAGGGCTTCATGAACTTCATTTTACCAAAACTGTTGATCATGATCCAATAGTCACTCATAAAAGGTTGCACCTCAACGTAACATTATTAATCTAAGAACATTCATTCACAACTAGAGGTGTCACACCGACCCGAAGTCAACCCGAATCTCGGGTCTGAAGGCTCGGGTCACAAACACCTACTTATCAATTTCAGGTTGGGTCAGCACACTTAGGAATATCATAAATTGTCGTAAAATGTGTTACACTGTTATATTCCCGGCAAAAATTGTAAACTTTTAGCTGGCCTATTTCGTGTATACTTAAAAATTATGAACATAAAATAATTTACAGTTCTTCTCTAACAATTTAATCAAAGCATAACATTTAGTAATGCAGACTTAAACAGTCTTATATGTGCCTTTTATTCACCACAAAATCGTTTCAGTTGCTAGTACTTAATTCATTTTTCTGTTGTCTTCTGACCTCACCCGAAATTACCTGACCCGACACTTTTTCTGGCTCGACCTGACCCTGAGAAAACACCTCTATTCATAACCATCCATATAGTTTAGAACATCAAAATTAAATTATCTAGTCAAATCTTGACTCAAATTACGAATAAAAAAATTAGGATTTGTCAATGTATGTTCATCAATATATCCATGGGGTTAATCCATTGTACAATGTAGTTTATTTTGTGTTTTCAAGGCAAGGAGTTTTTGGTGAAGCTTTGTTTCGCTGCAAGAAATGCAGAAAGGGGTGGAAATCTGCATTTGGTTGGGCGGTAATTGATCTAAAGCGCCAGAAAGTTGCAAAGTTCTTCAAACAGGGATGTCTTAGGTGTATGCCTAAATTGCAATATAATGCAGGACCCTTTTTCACTGTGATAGTATTCATAGGAATGGTGCTCAAAGCACTTTTACAGTAAGTCACACAATTCAAATGATTCTCAGTTTGGCAAGAAAAAATGAAGGATGAGTGGGTTTTAACTAAAAAACTATTTGTTCAAAAATAGCAGAGCTTGAATTGAACATTTGTATAACTGTTCTGTTGTTAGGTACGAGTACTACATTCAGCGTAAGCAACCAAATGAACCTGATGGAAGTGATGATGGTGAGGAACATGAACCTAATGATGACTCAACGCTTCAAATAGATGATGGGCCTCACAAAAAAGAATGGTGTGAGAGATGTGTTTACAAGAGAGGCAAATGCTGGATACATGGGAAGCAATGTATTGTAGATGAAAGAGAAAAAAGAGAAATAGGTATAGCCTAAGAACATCTACTTATTACTAAAATACATGTACATTATTAAAATGCACTAACTCATATATGATCAAACTATCATTGCAGAGTCAATTCTGGAACATGATGATGAAAAATATGTGCCAGTTGGGCTAAACAAGGATGATGATGATGATGCAAGGAAGCGTGGCAAAGGGAGAAAATTGGCAAATGTCCAAGCTGAGGGTGATGCTGTAGCTCCCTCTAGGAATGTCCATGAACCATAGTATGGTGGCAGCGAGACTGTAAATCCTTCTTTGTTTTAAGGAAGATGAATATATTGCTTTCTATTTTAAGAACTATACATACATACAGGGTGATCCAGAAGTAACGTCAAAGATGTTGTAATTTCAAAAGTATTCATCAGATCTTCATGAAATTTGGTATACATGTACCCACAACATTTCTGAGTTACCATCTCAAAGATTGGAATTCAATCATTTCATTGGTTGAAATTATGGTTGCTATAGTAACCCGATATCGCGTAACCCGGGGCAAATTGAAGAGAAACCATAACGTTTTTGTGAATTTCTCTAATTTAAAAAGTCAGTAACATTTGAAAATGTTCATTGTTTGTTTTCTATGATTTTTATATTTGTTGCCATGGTAACAAATATGTAATAGTTGTGATGTCACAATAGGCATTCATAAAAAGCTTTCAATTTCTTTGAATTGCTTCCATCATCCATGACAAATACTAACATGACCAAGGACACTAACCCACCCAATTCAAGATGGCGCCAAGTCAGAGTAAAATAGAGCAAAGAACAAACATTAAGTTCTGTGTAAAGTTGGGGAAAGGTGTAAAAGAGACTATAAGACAGATAAAGAAGGCATATGGTAAAGCTGCCATTGCTGAGAGAAACATTTACAGGTGGTTTAACAAGTATTCCAGTGGATATGATGAAGTGGTAGACAAGCAGCGAGGAGGCAGGCCAGTGTCGTCATTCGATGATCAAACCATCAAAGATATTGAAGCTGATGTTATGGACAATAGGCAAATTTCTATCAGAGAATTGGCTGAAAAACACGATCTGAGCTATGGGACTGTGCAACGGATACTGACAAAGAACTGTCTGTTAAAGAAGGTGTCTGCTAAATGGGTGCCGCATGACTTGACACAGGAGCAGAAAGACCGGCGTGTTAAGGCTTCAAGGGACTTTCTTGCAAAATATCGGAGAGATGGAGATGACTTTCTTAACAAGATCATTACGAGTGACGAATCATTGCTATCATTCTACATCCCAGAGACCACGCAACAAAGTTCATCGTGGAAACATGGCAACTCCCCAACACCAACCAAGCCTAAAATAGTACCAGGAATTCCACAAAAGAAACCAGAACAACGGCAACGCCAAAGCGTAGCGAATCCCATCGAACAGAAATCATCACTAGCCAAGTTGTCATCAGAAGAAGTATGGCCGACTACTCCCCAAAGTTTTATTAGACAATGTGGCATGCTTAAAGTATTCACATATCAAATATGAACAAAATCGCTCCACTAATTTACAAGTTATAGTAAAAAACATAAAAATGGTGGCCATTTTTCAAAATGGCCGCCTTATACCCAAAGTGTCATTAGACAGTGTGCCATGCTTATAGTATTCACATATAAAATATGAACAAAATCGCTCTTATACTTTGTGAGTTATAGTAAAAAATGTAAAATAACACAGGTAAAAATGGCGGCAATTTTCAAAATGGCTGCCTACTACCCGAAATGTCATTTGACATTGTGCCATGCTTAAAGTATTCACATACCAAATATGAACAAAATCGCTCCAATACTTTTTGACTTACAGTAAAAAATGTTAAATAACACACGTAAAAATGGCGGCCATTTTTCAAAATGGCCACCTACTACCCAAAATGTCATTAGACATTGTGCCATGCTTAAAGTATTCACATACCAAATATGAACAAAATCGCTCCAATACTTTTTGACTTACAGTAAAAAATGTTAAATAACACACGTAAAAATGGCGGCCATTTTTCAAAATGGCCACCTACTACCCAAAATGTCATTAGACATTGTGCCATGCTTAAAGTATTCACATACCAAATATGAACAAAATCGCTCCACTTCTTTTCAAGTTACAGCAAAAATCGTAAAATGACGTGCAAAGGCAGCCATTTTTCAAGATGGCTGCCATGTATTTCTTCTATATTTACATTTCTAGCTTAATCAATGTTTAATATAACTTTTTTACATTAAAAACATATTGCTATTACAGTTTTATATGCAGTACCTAAATTACTGTAAAATCGGCACTAAAATGGCCGCCATTTTTTTTTGAGCGGCCATTTTGAAAATCGGTTTTCGAGCAGAACTTCTACCCCCATTGGGTATATGTATACAAAATATGAACAAAATCGGGCCAGCGGTATTTGAGTTATTGCCCGGACGGACGGACGTACGTACGGACGGACGGACGTACGTACGGACGGACAGAGGCGTTCCCTATATCCCTCCGAACTTCGTTCGATGGGATAACAAATGGTTGTGACATTCTTTGACATTAGAGGAATGGTGTTAACCCATTTTGTTCCCATTGGCCAGAGAATTAATGCCGTTTACATTGCAAAGGTAAGATATCATTTGTTCTAATAATACATCATACTGTGAATTTTATTTTTAAATTAAAGTATTTAAATGTTGTTCACTGTCAATATAATTATAACTCCATGGCCATGATTCAAATCCAAATCCAATCAATGAAACAACTGGTTTAACAACCATTAAACATTTGTTTTTCAGGTTCTGAAGCGTGATCTTCAACGTTCCCTGAGGAAAAAGCGTCCCGGACATCTGCAGCAGTTTATCTTGCATTGGGACAATGCCCCTACGCACACTGCAATCCTGACCAGCAACACAGTCCAAACACTTGGATTTCAACAACTTGAACATGCCCCTTATTCACCTGATCTTGCCCCCAGTGACTTTTATTTGTATGGGGAACTAAAAAGAAACCTTAGTGGAAATAATTTTCAATCCTGTGAGGAATTGAAAAATGCCGTAGTACTAGCCCTACAAGGAATGAGTTCTAATGGATTTAATTCTGTGTTCAAGGAATGGGTATCCAGACATGAGAAATGTGTTGCAAATGGTGGCAATTATGTAGAATGAACTATTATTAGTAACTGTGCAATAGTATGATTTATATTGTTGTGAAATAAAATGTTGAGGATATAACAATTTCAGATCTTGTTGATATTTTGAGATTACGCATTACACGTTAAGTAATTTGCCCCGGGTTACGCGATATCGGGTTACTATAGCAACCATAATTTCAACCAATGAAATGATTGAATTCCAATCTTTGAGATGGTAACTCAGAAATGTTGTGGGTACATGTATACCAAATTTCATGAAGATCTGATGAATACTTTTGAAATTACAATGTCTTTGACGTTACTTCTGGATCACCCTGTATGTGTACATATACATATTCTACCCTCTACAGAACATTTACAATATTGAACACCCTGCTGGACTGTAGCCCAAAATATCGGTGTTACTTAAAAAAATCACCACGTATCTGGCGATAACTTTCACAATGGTATATAACACAATTTATCCAATGGACACACAGCAGTCTAACTTTTTGTAAATCAAAAAAAAGATACCACTTGTTTATTATGAAAATAAAGAGAAGGATGGATCTGCCCTTAAATTCTGTGGAGCAAAACTTGAACTTGTACTAATATCAAACTCAAAAAAGGACTCCAAGACCAGCTTAATTCACTATTCAAATATTGTACAGAATACTGTTAATACAGTCAAAACCAAAGCTCTGCTGTTTAATAATCAAAGCATTGCACAGGTCAATGAATATAAATATCTTGGTTGTGTCTTAAGCCATAATAACAAGTTTGATGAAAATTCTGACCATTTGAAAGAACAAGCAAGAGAGGCTTATTTCAAGAAAGCAATATTACAATAAATTGAATGATATTCCAGTGAATATCATTTGTTTGATACAATAATTTTGCTGATCCTCAATTATGCTTCTGAGATATGGCTAGACGATAAACAAATGAAATCAATTGGAACAATCCATCTAAAGTTTTTTAAATCAGTTTTATGTGTAAAGCCTCAGACATCAACACATGCAGTTTATGGTGATTTAGGCCGTTATCCATTGTCTTGAAAGCCCATGGTACAATCAATAAAATATTGGATTAGAATCCTGTGACTATGCCATCCAGAATTTTCAAAATCCTTGAAAAATGTGACATGTTAGAATTCTGAGAGAATCGGGATATACCTGATATGTATTGTATATTTAATCACCTCTAATCACTAGATGAGAAAATATATTTTTAAAGAACGTATATAACACTTTGTTGAGGCAGTATTGTGCCGATTGGCAAAATGCTATTATGTGTGCACCCACAACTGTATACTCAGAACATATTGTAAATATAAAACCAAATTTGAATGTGAATCGTATCTAAGGTTAGATACTGTAAGTTGCTTTAATTTGGCCCTATTTAATTTGGCGGATTGGGTCGAATTGGGCAAATTTTGAAATTTTGTCTGCTATCTAATTTGGCGGATTAACCCATTGGTAAAATGCGATTATTAGAGGGTTCATACAAAGATGCAAATAATGCTCTCGTTTTTCAAAAAAATAGCCAGCAGTTGATCTAGATCTTTGAAAATAGTTCATGTTTTTATCCTGCGAGGGAATCCCCAGGGATTTATTCAAAAATTGGCGGAGATTTAATATGACGGTTGTCATCAATCCGCCAAATTAAAACGGCCATCAAACTAAAGCAACTTACAGTAATAGAAAGTATAGGCAGAAGAACACTTTCTCATAAGATGTAAAAAATATGAAACACTGAGAGAAATTGTTCCTAGTTTTGATTGTGATGACCCAGATATTTTTAAAAGGTTAATGGCAACTGACACTTAACTATTCAGTTACACATCAGAAAATATATCATGGTTTCAGAATTTAGATTAATATATTTGTAGTGTGCATCACAAGTGTATAATAATTACTTGTATTTTTGTAGTTAGAATAGTTGTAGTTGTAGTTTGTAGTGTTATTGTGACTAATGTATCAAGTAACTGATATAAAATGTCAATAAAAGATATAATAAGTCTTTTGTGACTAAAAAATCTACTTACCATCGCAGGATGTCATTGGAATCTTGAATTTCTTCATAAGACGTAGTAATTGTTCTCGGATATTAACTGCACGACAGAGACCTCTATAATTCAGGAAGTTTTCATGACACCAGCGAGAATTTTTCTTGTACTAAAATATAAAGTGTAGTTAAAATAAAATGTCAATAGCTTTTGTGGCAGATTTTGTAAAAGCATCTTCAGTTTTGAAAATTTTGTTAATTTTAAAGGACCAATATTGGGAACATTTCTTCTCATTTAAGAAAGTCCACATGTATTGTATATCTGATAAGCTTTATGATCTGAACATCTCTCAATGCGAACACTTTTTTTCAGTCTCATTATTTTAATCTGACTGACACAGACTTCCATTTTAAAACAAGGCACTATGCAAATTGTCACCACCTGCCATTTATTACAGATGCCAAACACCGAACACCAACCACCACCAACCAAATGCCAAACACCAACTGCCGAACACCCTCCACAAAAATTGGGAGACAATAACAATAGGCCACCACTCCTGGTGGTGACATAAAAACACAAAATGCGAACACCTGCCAATCCAAACACTTAGCAAGTCCCAGAGGTGTTCTGATTGTCAGATGGGTTTTATTGCATTTGTTGTCATGGGAACATCTCCAACTTTATGTTTTAAATGTGCCAATGTATATTTTTAACCAAATAAGTACATGAATAAAATATACCTTGATAAAAGCTGTATAGACATTCAGTAAGGTAAGGTGATCTCCTTCTTCCACTGAAAAGTTGCGCTTTGCTCGAACCTACAAAATAAAATGGCTGAATGAAGGTGGAGTTGGTCAGGCCCAAAACAGCCAAAAAATGTGAAAGGGGATTGCAACTTGTTTATCCCTCTTTTTTGCATGTGTTCAAATTATCAACAAAAAAACCTATATTTCAATATTTTTATCAAAATCTTTAAAATAAATTGTATCCTGTATCAAATATTGTACTGAAGATTGAGATATGTAGCAAATAATTACACAAAATATTGTGGGATCTCAATTCTAAGACTTATCATTTATTTTTCTGTTAAGCAACTGGTACTAGGACATGATCTCTCATGATGTGGGATCCCTTATTTCTTATATGAAAAAGACTATTTTGAACTCATGGTATCAAGGTAAAGTGTCACTGGTATTAATGGGCACCTGTAATAGGCCATGATCTCTGGATCCCTCATTTCTTAAATGAAAAAGAGCTATTTTGAACTCACAGCTTGTTGTTTCTGTCCAGGGGGTGTAATGAATACATTCTCTATCTGAGTCATTGCTGCTATGGTAAGCATCTCCTCTGAACATCCAAATTCATCTAAAATAATACGTGCAATTATAGACTAAAGGACAGGTGGCGGTAAACCCCTCTTTTAGCCCCCCTACAAAACAAGTATATATTGACATGGAATTGAAGAGGAAGCATGACTTATTACTTAAAATGTGATTTCTGAGAATTTTGACATTTGACCTTGACATTAGGGTGGTTTAAAGGTCAACTTTGAGAGATGCTATTTTTGTCAAAATTTTGCCATTTTCTAATACAAGAAATGAAAGCAATTGGCTTAATTTTGATTTTGACTGATAATAAGACATGTGAATGGAAATAAATATTCTTAATAAATTCTCACGGGCAGTTACAAGAAAATCTTGAGAATAAATCCCCATATGGGCATTTTTAAGGGGACTAAATTTTCCTGTTTCAAAAATGAATGTTCTTGTTGCCTTTTGAGACTCCAACAGTATCTTAAGCATGTTTTAAGAGTTGGGATGTGATTATTGTTTTAATGCCCATGGGCAATTAGGATAAAATGACTGCAATTAAATGCACACAAGGGCACTTCCATGAGAATGGATTTTCTTATTTCAATTGCATCTCACCAGTTTTCTAAACATGTTTGCCATATTCTAAAAAGTTATAGGGTCACTTTTAATAAATGCCCATTGGCATTGCTTTGGAATTTGAAATTAAATGTCTGTATGGACACTTAATTTATAGTTATTTGCCAGTTTGCAGTTCCCATATTTGAAACACAAATAATTCAGAGAAATCCTCTTTCAATATATATCATAATATATAAGGCAGCATCATGTATGAATGGCATGACACTCAAAGGATTACTTAAAATTCCCTACTTATACAATATTTAGAAAAACGCTTAGGCCATTCAAAGATGTTTTTATAATTAATGTCACTAAATTCTATGTTTTAAGAAAAAACAAAATGTTCCTATGTACGCTGTACTTGTAATGCATATAAATGACAAAGGGAATTGTGATCTTGGATTATATTGTAGTGAAATGAGTTCCAAGATTGATTAAAAACTATGTGTATATAAGCTTTAGTATTGTCTTCATTCACAAGGTCATCTGAATCAAGAGGTGTGTTACTTGCCTTCCCACAGTGTGTTATTGTATTTTCACTATTAAATAATATATAAAACCCTTTAAATAAATTTTTCAAAGTATCTGAAAACTAATGCCACTTTTTGAAATTGCACATTTCAAGAAAAAAGGTTTATCTACAATTTGCAATCGGTTTTAAAAGTAAATGGAAGAATGAGTTTTTTGGAAAAAGTCTAAGTGGACCAATAGTCTGTTAAATGGACCTGTTCTTTTCAAATAAATAATGAAATAAAAAAAAAATAGAACAATTAATTAGAAGTGTAAACTTTGAAGGCAATTTTATTTAAAACCATTTTACACACTTAATATTATTTACAGATACACAATAATTATAACTACATTTCATTATGTATAATAGTGATTATTTCATTGCAAAGAATTAGAATCTAATTCTGTTTTGACAGACTGAACATATGCTCTGATAAATAATTGAAACTAATTTAAAAAATGAATAGAGTTCTGAAAGCTTGATATAATGTCAAATTATATCTGTATTTATTAGAATGTTCCACTGACAAGGCTTTTAAACAGTATCGAATTTTGTTATATTATAATTGTACAGACCTGAATTAGAAGCATTTTTGAGATACATGTATGCATTTATTAAAATGTTCCACTGACAAGGCTTTTAAACAGTATCGAGTTTTGTTATATTATCAATGTACGTACCTGAATTTAGAAGCATTTTAGAAAACATAGGTTTAAGAGGGAATTCAGCCATTTGTGCGCCCAATGGTTGTGTGAGGTGACAATGGTCATCTAGTGCTCCCAAGGCATACAACAGTTCCACACCACGAACCATACTTTCTGCTGGGGGTGGCTGGAAATAGTAGAATTAAGGTTTTTTTATGAAATATAAATGACTGAGTCACAAAAAAGTAGTTACTATAACGATATGTCACTAGTTCATGGAGTTGACATCACAAAAATTGTGCCATTTTGTATGAAGCAAAATTCCAGTTGGATAAAATGTAACTTCAAAGCCATGTGACAAATATGCACAAATCTAATAAATGCATAACTTTTTAAACTTTCATTTAAAATCAATTCATTTAAATAAATACTAGATGCAAAAAATTATGATTCCTAATGTTGTATTGAAATCTATGTAATGAAAGTAAACTCGAAACAACACTTTGAAAATTCATTCAGTTCAGCTCTTAAACTTGTGACATTATCCCATTGGACAGGTGTTAGTAACAAATGTACAAGGAAATCATAAATAACCATGCCGCAATTAATACATGCAGTCCAGCATGATCTCCAAATAACTCACCGAAAGGAAATCAAATCTGACAATGTTGTCTATACCCAGTGCCTTCAGCTGCAAAACAACTCCAGCCATGTCTGACCGCTGTATCTCTGGTACTGAAGATACTGGCAGTTTTTCAAACGAGTCATCTAAAAAGATACAAATTAATAATTTTACAATAATGCTGGATTTGTATTTGGTCTAGAGATAGTGTGTAATACATCTATTATCTATTGATGATAATTGAATGATGTATCACTTGCAAAAATATCAAAGAGATTGGTCTACAACAAGCATTCGTGTAAAAAAACGTCCATTACTTATTGATCACCCCCCATACATGAATAACTTTCCTTTTGGTATTGGCAGTAATTAGTGTTGTCGCGATGTGCCATAATCATACATCGATGCATCGGCAATTTTCAGTAGTAAACATCGATGCACATCGCGATGTACATCGAGAAAAAGTCCAAGAAAAGTGCACTGAAATACTGAACGCTAATGCACTAAAATACTGAACAGAACAAATTAAAAAGAGTACGCTGGTACATCCGGGAACTTCTATTAACGGTGAAATGAAAGTAAAGTAAATTTTTTATAGATTAATGGTTCATTTCGACTAGCTAAAACAGTTTTAAGTGAAAAAATATCAGAAAACATTGGAAAATGAAATAAGACATGAGAAAGCGATTTGCGTCAAAATAAGATAAGAAAGGGTGATATTTAGCAAATTAATTTTTTTTAAAAACATCGATGTTTTGTTTCAGACATCGATGCATCGCCAGAATCCGCTTTTGCGATGTATATCACGATGTATCGATTAATCGCGACAACACTAGCAGTAATGGGAATGACTTTCAAGCAATTTCATACAGCAGTTTACCTTCAATTGGTTGTGTCCATATTAATCTTAAAAACAGTTACTGATTTAAATTGTGAAGATATCAAAGATTTGCCAAAAAACAGAAATATTCAAATTTTTTATAAGATATGGCTATCTACAAGTTACAGAAAAACTAAAAATAAAGTATAAACTTTTTGGATGATCTGATAGAATATGAATATGTCAATGAATAATACAAGTCTAAACAATTATGAAAATGAGACAACTTGAAAAGAGATTTCATCCAATATATTGATCACTAATGAAATACAATAATTAATTGGAAGGTGATTCCACAAGACCCAGACAGTTACTATATGAGAATGTTTAAAAGTGTTATCAAAGGATGTAAAAATATATTAATCAAACTTTGATCAACTGACATGAAAATGAACATGTCTGAAACCAAAACTACTTTCATCTATAAAAAACATGAAAGGCATAACTGCCCACATAGATGTAAGTAAATGTAGAAATGAACATCGAAATTGATGATTTTGCAATATTCTGGTGAGTTTTCATGTTCGAATTGTAATATAGACCTCAGAGCAGGGCTACTCATTTCAAATACACCCCTTAAGGCTAGGCACAAAACAATGAATTTTATATGTATACATGTACATAACCATAATATCTGATGTATTAACAAAATGTTACCATTTGACATCAAAACCACTAATTTCTCAAAGAGCAAGGCAACTTGGAAAATGGCAATGACAGATCAAAAAGACACTTATAAATTCAAATGAATGGTACTTTTGACTTAATATGAATAGCAGTTTTGTACTTATGGTGATGGGACAGACCAACATGGACATGGACCAACAGAATGTCTTTGTCCCATTCCAGCAGGTTCACATAAATGGAATACATTAGACAACAAACATGTACAACATATTCCCACAAATGGGTGATGCTTCAGGGTGACACAAAAATGCCACCAACTTATTTTGAAATAACTTTCTAAATGATTAAGAAATCTTTGAGATATCACAATTTTCATCCAGGCATGCTCTTGGTGAAATCGTCAAAAAATATTCAAAATTTGGAATCAATCCGTCAAATAGTTAGCATGGAAAGGCGTAGATAAGACTTTACAGTGAAATTTTTAGGACAACCAAAATGGATGTATTTACATGTATCTAGATTGGCCAAAAACTAATCAGATCGAAATTGTCATACTTAGAAACATACCATCAAACAGAACACCTAAAACATGTAGACATGACTTCACAGACAGTATGTTACGAAGGAAAATTCTAAGAGAGATGTAAGTTTTTGCCTTTTTTTACAAAATTATTGCATGTAACCTGAAACTATCGTAAAACAACTACTGTTGACATGAAATTACAAAAAGCAGGACACCTGAACTTATTTATAAAGCTAGAAAACTATCTAATTATAAAAATTCATAACACCTTATTAATATGATACAAAATAATACACTCGCTGACTTTTTTTTAAATATTCAAAATGGCTTCCATGACTGAGCTAACAATGTCCAAAACCTAGTAAGATGTAGAATGAAGTGAGTTTACGAAGATGTTGAAAGTCTTTAAACTATCTGGGCAGCCATTTTTCTTAAAGTTTGCAGACAAGGCTTTTAGCAATTGACTTCACAATGGCAGACAGGAAGTATGTATCGAGTCAAAATCAATGGCTGACAGGAAGTAGGTAGGGATCGAGGCAATTTTTTGCTACCACATCTGTATGTGCTCAAACATTTATCCCTGAAAAGCTTGTTAACCTGTTGCGGTTTTGGAGAACACTGCCGAATGTATGGACAGATAGGCGTACTGACAGGCAGACAGACTGACAGATGGCCACTAGTCCGACAATATGGCCCAACATTATGCGATGTAGAGACATAAAAACATTAAGTTAAACATTAAACTACAAGTAAAATTTTAACTTAAAAAACGCTAAATCTAATTAGTCCTTATCATGAGGGTTTTAGTACTTTACATTGTCCGATGCTTTAAACTAGACTAACTCCACTTCTCAGAAAACAGGGTAACAATAATGGCGGTCAAAATTTGCAAAAGCATAAAATTACAATGGAAAACATTAACTTATACATTACTATCTATATCAATATTTGCAAATGTGTCATTCATATATATAAGTTTTGGTCACATCCAAAAAAATAGGAAGTCAGATCTTGTTGCAGTAATAGACATAAAAGTGGAACAAAGAAACTGTTCAACACTCGAACAAAACTTTGGTAAGAATATATATTTGTAATAATTAATGGCATTACATCCCCCTTCCTGGTATATGAGATGAAAACAGGAAAAAAACATGTCATTCATTCCAAGTCATTGGTCTCCTGCCTCATCATGTAACAATGATGACTAGTATATTTTATAATTATTTATGTCAATAAATGCTAAAATCACAGTGAAAAACAGATTTTTCAACGACATGATGATGTTCAGAGGTTTTAGAGGTAGACAAAGCATAAATAAATAAAGTATTTAGAAACTTCAAAAATGTATGAATTGTATCTTAAAGTAAATAACAAATATTGGGTTACCAAAAAGCCACCCTTTAATTTTGGAATAACTTTTAGAATAATTGAGAAATCTTCATGATTTTTATGTGTAAAGTGTTCAGTCCATGAAAGATTTGTGAACTTACGTAGTATCAATGACTTAGAGAATTAGAAATAAGTAAAGTTCATTAACTTCAGAGAAAAAAGATTTATTTTCGACGTTTCGCTAGTCCTCCAACCAGCTTTATCAAGGTTACGTTCAAAATGGAGTCTTACTAATCATTATAAATCATTAAAATTATTTAAAAAACTGATCACAATATAGCACCCAAGATCAGGATAAAGATGGGTAGATATGACATAGTATTGATAATATATGTAAAAGCAATCCATGAATGACTCAAATAATGGCAAAGACAGATATCTCAATTTAAGAAAATTGTATTTTTCTAACATTTTTCAACGATTTTTGATGATTTCATTGAGAACATACCTTGACAGAAAACATAATATCTTTCGGCAACAGCATAAAAAATTTGAACCAAATCAGTCAACTGGTATTTGGACTGATGGGTGGCTTCACTATATCCTTACAAACTTTATTCGGTGGGACAATTACATTCCAAATCATAATTGACATCATAATTGAAGGGAAAATATTTCTTTGATCGTGTTTTATATAAAATACAATTTTTTCTAAATTTCAGTTGGCATGCTAAACTTTTCAAAGAACTATACCACATACAAAAGTCTCCATAAGGGCCCCTCCCCTGTAGTGCAATCAACATATACAACTGATGGTAGAGGGCACTGGTTTCCACTCACTTGTCGACCAAGACAAAGAACTGTTATAGTCATTCCATTTAGAGACAGAGATGACCATCTTAAAATATTTCTTGATCATTATGTTCCAATTCTTCAAAGACAGCTGTTAGATTACACCATCCTTGTTGTTGAACAGCGGGTAAACAAATTATCATCATATTGTTTCCTCATTAAACTCTTTTATCACCCATTCATATCACTCAGACACAGATAATATTACTTGAGTCTCTAGTCGAGGTGAGAGATCAATACATCGGTTCACTTTGTACTCTTGAAAATGATTCACATAATGTAATGTTATTCAATAAAAATTTCAGAGTATGGAAATCGCATTGAAATTAAAACTGAATATGTCACATAAGAGATATATGATTTCATTTGATATAAATATCAATGCTACCGTACACATGTAAATAAAGTATACATTATTTTGCTATATCACAAAAATGGTCTTATTCTTCAATTAGTGAAACCACAAAACAAATGCAATATTACATTGGATTATAACAGGGTCTGGGTTGGCTATTAAAATTGATTTATGAAGCCAATTTTCATTTATTTATTGCATACTGATCTTGTTGCAGGATTTCACTCGCAGATTCAACAAGGGGGTAATGTTTAATGCTGGCTACAAAACAGCTCTCTCCATGATTGACGACAATCAAGCTCCTCTATGTTTAATACTGCATGACATTGACCTACTCTTAGAGAATGATCTACTGACTTATGAGTGCTCGCAACATCCAACTCACCTCTCTGTTGGAATTGATACAATGCAATATCGGTTGGTCTACTCCCTTAAATAAGTTTGTATTACAAATTCTACCTTAGCCCATCTATATTTAAATTCTTTTAAGAAAATCAGAAGAAGTTTATTGTCAGAGCTGCAAAGATCTAATGACTTATTTCCGATAGCTCAGTTGTCCCAAAATCTAGTCCTTAATCGCAAGTTGAATATTTTGATGTAAGTTCAATATTTGTATAGAAATATGTTAGACAATTGAATTTGGTCCTTCATTTGACATATATTCACAAGCTGTCATCCATTTTCAAAGTAAAACTATTTTTCTAAGAATCTATTTTATTAAAGGGCCAAGAAAATAAACAAAACTGTAACATTTTAAAAGTTCAAGAGTTCCGATTACATTTAATGAAAATGCATTAATTGGCAATAATCCTGAACAAGTGGATGTCAATTGTATCTGGACATTTCTGGAGCTTAAATCTTTTATAAAATTTACAGCTATGTCAAAGCTTTCCCACCCATCCCCCCCCCTGGCCAAAATTTCTTTCACAATCGTGCAGTTTTTCACCATTCTGAGCAGTTTTTAAGTGATTTTGGCCATTTTCTGACCAAAATTGTCAAAAGTGAACCCCCCTGGAATTTTTCAAAAAGTGAACCCCCCTTGGCAAATCCTGGCTACGGGCCTGTATTCTAAACTTAAACCAACATGTTGTTTATGGGTGACATTGATATACTGATGCTAGATTTATTTATTGTAGCATGCCTTATACTCTGCTGTTTGGTGGTGTGGTTGCTATATTTGGGGAGCAGTTTAACATATCAAATGGCTTTAGTAACCTTTTCTTTGGTTGGGGTGGTGAGGATGATGACTTCAGAGGAAGGTATGTATCCCCCGAAATAGAGGAATGATAAGAATCTATGAAAGTTCAATAATAAACTGTTAACAAAAATTATTTTTGAATCCCTACTGACCACGCTTGTTTAATTTTTCCTTTGTTGTAAGAATGCCAAAATCCAAAATATGAGTGTTTTTAAATGACATTAGAAATCTTTTCAGATTGATAACATGTTGAAATTGAGTCTAGTGGGGCTGTATATCCAATAAAGCCACGTGCCAAATAAGAATTTAGAATATTTCTATGAATGTTCATCTCTCTTTGAAACGTCAAAAGAAAAATAAGTATCTCTGAGAAAGAAAATCTACAACTTTGTTAATAGTAATTTAGATTATGTTTTTTAGAATGAATGTTCATCTGTTGGGAAGTATTCATGTTTAAGTCTCATCTATCACAGACACTTTTAAGATAAAACTTACTGTAAAATAATTTGACCTGCATTCAATAGAATTGGGATTGAACCATTGGGATTAAGACCATAGGGATTCGGACCATCCAGATTAAGACCATTGAGACAAATGGGATGGGGACAACTGGAATTCGGACCACGGGATTAGGACAACTGGGATTCGGACCATGGGATTAGGACAACTGGGATTCGGACCAAGGGATTAGGACAACTGGGATTAGGACAACTGGGATTCAGACCATGGGATTAGGACAACTGGGATTCGGACCACGGGATTAGGACAACTGGGATTCGGACCACAGGATTAGGACAACTGGGATTCGGACCACGGGATTAGGACAACTGGGATTCGGACCACGGGATTAAGACAACTGGGATTCGGACCACGGGATTAGCACAACTGGGATTCAGACCACGGGATTAGCACAACTGGGATTCGGACCACAGGATTAGCACAACTGGGATTCAGATCAATAGTATTTGGCCAATTGGATTCAGACCATCAGTTCGACCCCCTATGACTGCAGGACAAATTCATTTAAAGTATTAGTTTAATATTAAAAAAGTCTATGATGAACTTTTTGGAAAAAGTATTTTTTACAAAGGCCTCCAACGAAGTGGGCAGAGCTATTCACACTATATGGAATGGGTTTGAACCATTCAAGTGACTTCATGTTCATTAGCATGTAACCTAACCACAACAAAACAAACATTATTTTTGTTCATTGTTGTTTTCTGGGGCATTTTATGAACCATGGATCAGTTTTCTCCATACATTATATGGTCTTTGTATTCTTCTAGTGGAAGGACAAGTCTCGGTTTGGAGAATAGTCTGTTTTGAACAGTCTCCTGGGTTAATAATTATTCTATAAAATATGAAATATCCCCCAAATTAAATTATGACTATTCAAAAGAAGACATTCAAATCTATATTATGTAAAAAAAATCAAATTTGTCCGAAGCCGGCATAATGTGCAGTATACCAATTCAATAAAAGACAAGTCTCGATTTGGAGAAAGAAGTTCATCAGTGTACTGCACTAATAATTTTTTTATGAAAAATATAGAAATATCCCCCAAATTAAATTATGACTATTCAAAAGAATACATTCAAATCTATATTATGTAAAAAATCAAATTTGTCTAATGGTCTATCTAGAAAGCCTCTTAATGAAAATAACATTAAACTTGTTCTTCAATTTTTCAGACTAGGAAAAGCTGGCTTATCTCCAGTACATTATGAAAATCGTTCTATCGCTCGTTATTCTATGATAATCCACTATCCAGCCGTAAGAAATGAAGTCAGGTTTGTATTGGCTGGTCAAACCATATAATTATTAGAATATAAGGGTGCAAAAACTAAACAATTCATTCACAACTAATCACCCTCTACCAGTGTTCTGATTGAAAACAATTGTAAACCTGTGGATAAAGTGGTTAAAAAGCCTTATAATTAGCGAAGTAGTCTGCCTTGTTTACAGTTGCCAAAATGTAATAATAGAAAAGTTAAAAAGTTGTCATAACTTTTTAAAATCTCGATGACTGGAACTAATTTCACTTGTCTGCTGGTAGGATATTTAAGTTGTACATACATGAATTGACCAGATCGATGTCATTGGTAATAACCTTATTCACCTTTTAAAGGCATTCAATCAAAGATCTATTGAAAAATCATTGTATTCAGTCTGTTTAGGATCCCTGAGGGTTTATATAATCTGACTTACATTTCAGGTACAGTCTTTGGATTACCGGACCTGAAAGATTCCACTGTGATGGACTCAATTCAGTAGAATATACAGTTGACAGCATACACTACAGGGAACATTATGTCCTTATCAAAATTGACATGCCTACAGATTTCAAGACATCAACCATGTGCCTGGACTGTTTCAGAGGAGGTTCGAACACAAAGACAATACAAAAAGCTGACAATGCAAGTACTGATAATAGTAATGTTAATATTACTGTGCCTGAAATATGCAAAATGACATAGTATCTGGCAATAAAACAGTGCCTGAAATATGCAAAATGACATAGTATCTGGCAATATAACAGTGCCTGAAATATGCAAAATGACATAGTATCTGGCAATATAACAGTGCTTGAAATATGCAAAATGACATAGTATCTGGCAATAAAACAGTGCCTGAAATATGCAAAATGACATAGTATCTGGCAATATAACTGGCCTGAAATATGCAAAATGACAAAGTATCTGGCAATATAACAGTGCCTGAAATATGCAAAATGACATAGTATCTGGCAATATAACAGTGCCTGAAGTATGCAAAATGACATAGTATCTGGCAATATAACAGTGCCTGAAATATGCAAAATGACATAGTATCTGGCAATATAACAGTGCCTGAAATATGCAAAATGACATAGTATCTGGCAATATAACTGGCCTGAAATATGCAAAATGACAAAGTATCTGGCAATATAACAGTGCCTGAAATATGCAAAATGACATAGTATCTGGCAATATAACAGTGCTTGAAATATGCAAAATGACATAGTATCTGGCAATAAAACAGTGCCTGAAATATGCAAAATGACATAGTATCTGGCAATATAACTGGCCTGAAATATGCAAAATGACAAAGTATCTGGCAATATAACAGTGCCTGAAATATGCAAAATGACATAGTATCTGGCAATATAACAGTGCCTGAAATATGCAAAATGACATAGTATCTGGCAATATAACAGTGCCTGAAATATGCAAAATGACATAGTATCTGGCAATATAACAGTGCCTGAAATATGCAAAATGACATAGTATCTGGCAATATAACTGGCCTGAAATATGCAAAATGACAAAGTATCTGGCAATATAACAGTGCCTGAAATATGTAAAATGACATAGTATCTGGCAATATAACAGTGCCTGAAATATGCAAAATGACACAGTATCTGGCAATATAACTGGCCTGAAATATGCAAAATGACAAAGTATCTGGCAATATAACTGGCCTGAAATATGCAGAATGACATAGTATCTGGCAATATAACTGGCCTGAAATATGCAAAATGACAAAGTATCTGGCAATATAACAGTGCCTGAAATATGCAAAATGACATAGTATCTGGCAATATAACTAGCCTGAAATATGCAAAATGACAAAGTATCTGGCATTCCCCTGAAATGTGCTTGAAAATTCATGATAGAAATAACATGACAAGGCACTAGTGTGTAAGGAAACTCCTTAAGGACTAAAGCTGAACTACTTTACATGCTTTCAGAACTCAACTCTGGTCGCAATTATACTATTATAAATCCTCCAAACTGTTCTTGTGGTCTGCAAGTCCAAAATTTCTTCTTTCTTTGCTCACTAAATAAAGATGCAAGAACTACCCTTTTCAATGCTATCTTCAAGTAACTCATGGTAACCAATCTGCTTCTACAGTATATTGTACTTTAGCAATGATGATAGAACAAAACTGTTGACACGTACACTAAACACTGCAATAGGATGGCAAACTTTATATTGAACTTGTCATTTATTTTTCAGTTATGAGACTACTTGAGTTCCTCTTGCAACATACCTAGTCTGGCATAAATACAGGATGACACAATAATATTATTATATCTTTTATTGACAATTTATATCAGTAACATGATACATTATTATGAGTCACTAAAACACTACAAACTACTACTACAACTATTCTAACTACAAATAATAATTATTATACAGTGTGATGCACACTATTAAACATATACACAAACATTGAAATCATGACATTTACATACTGAACATATTACGAAAGCGGGGACTCAAAAAGCAGGTGTTCACATTTCAAGTTTTTTTCCATGTAGACAAAAAGAGAATACAAAATTAGGTCAGAAAAAGTGTTCACATTGAGAAAGTGTTCACTTCAAATTTTTAGTTTTTAACAGCCAGAAAAATATGTAGACAAGACTTTACAGACAAGATTTAGGATGGAAAATCCAAAATGGCTGCCTTGTCATTTACCCAGAATGTCAAAAAACTAATCTGTTTGTAGATTTTCATACTAAGAATCATCCCTGAAAATATGAAATTGATCTACCAAACGGTTCACCTGAAAATGGGTAGACAAGATTTTTCAGACAAGATTTTAGGACAGAAAATCCAAAATGGCTGCCTTAACATTTACGGAGAATGCAAAAAAAAACTAATCAGATGTAGATTTTCATACAAAGAATCATCCCTGAAAATTTGAAATTGATCTATCAAACGGTTCACCTAAAAACGCATAGACAAGACTTTACAGGCAAGATTTTAAGACGGAAAATCCAAAATGGCTGCCTTGACATTTATCCCGAATGCCAAAAAACTAATGAGATCTAGATTTTTATACTAAGAATCATCCCTGAAAATTTGAAATTGATCTACCAAACGGTTCACCTGGAAATGCGTAGACAAGACTTTACAGACAAGATTTTAGGACAGAAAATCCAAAATGGCTGCCTTGACATTTACCCAGAATGCCAAAAAACTAATGAGATCTAGATTTTTTATACTAAGAATCATCCCTGAAAATTTGAAATTGATCCATCAAACGGTTCACCTGAAAACGCATAGACAAGACTTTTCAGACAAGATTTTAGGACAGAAAATCCAAAATGGCTGCCTTAACATTTACGCAGAATGCAAAAAAAACTTATCAGATGTAGATTTTCATACAAAGAATCATCCCTGAAAATTTGAAATTGATCTATCAAACAGTTCACCTAAAAACTCATAGACAAGACTTTACAGGCAAGATTTTAAGACGGAAAATCCAAAATGGCTGCCTTGACATTTATCCCGAATGCCAAAAAACTAATCAGATGTAGATTTTTATACTAAGAATCATCCCTGAAAATTTGAAATTGATCTACCAAACGGTTCACCTGGAAATGCGTAGACAAGACTTTACAGACAAGATTTTAGGATGGAAAATCCAAAATGGCTGCCTTGACATTTACCAAGAATGCCAAAAAACTAATGAGATCTAGATTTTTTATACTAAGAATCATCCCTGAAAATTTGAAATTGATCCACCAAACGGTTCACCTGAAAACGCGCAGACAAGACTTCACAGACAAGATTTTAGGACCGAAAAATCCAAAATGGCCGACAATAAAAAAGTCCTTATGAGTTTTTGCTGATTTCTTTTTACAAAATTATCACATATAACTACTGTTAACAATAAAGCAGGCTTTTACAACAAAGTACATCTGAAATTATTTATAAAGCTACTAAATAGTTTAAGTATGAAAACTCAAAAACACCATTCAATATGATACAAAGTATTATCGTGCGCTAACTTTTCTTAAGACATTCAAAATGGCTGACATGACTGAGCTAACAGGTCCAAAACCTAATCAGATCTAGAATGAAGTGAGCTGAACAAGATGTTAAAGTTTTAAAAGCAACTGTGAAGCAGTTTTTCTTAAAGTTTATGCAGACAAGGATTTTAGCATTTGACTTCAAAATGGCCGACAGGAAGTAGGTTTCGAGTTAAATTTTTTTCATCCACATCTATAGGCACGCACTCATAAGTTATCCCTGAAAATTTGAAGGTGATATCTGTAGCGGTTTTGGAGAAAACTCCCGGACGTACGTACGGACGGACGGACGGACAGACAGTCGGACGCGCCTAGGCCGACAATATGGCCCCACACTATGTGGTGGGGACATAAAAACTGGGAATCCAATGACTATAGTACCTTTACAAGGTCGTGATTTAAAAATGTATTTAATCATTTCAAATCACGATGAAAAACGTAACATCGTCGTGGTGTGTAATGTCTGATGTCTCAGTTGTTAGAAGATCTATTTCATTCTGGTTAGTAACTTTGGATTATGATGAGAAAACGCACGTAACATTGCATTAAGTTCATTAATATGAAACGCACTTAACAAAAACACACTTAACATTGTCAGTGTTCACGTCGTAACGTAATGTTTGATTTCTCAGTTGTTCAACCTCAACTGGTAAAAACTACATTCAATATGACTTTCTAATCATGGTGTACTGAAATGGAGTCATTTTTAATCCCGATAAGAGAACGCATGTAACATATATCGTGTTCAGAATTCAGTAGGCTATGACGATAAATCATTTTTATTTCGAAATTGTACGTTAGATTTCAGTAAAAAATTAGGATAGATAGAAATGATAGGTTGGTATGGTAGGTCAGGAATCTAAGGCAGGACAATTGAATCGAGAGGAGACGGTCATGCCCAATTTGTTTGCTAGCCTTTCGTTGAACGCCTTCGTTGAAAGGAACAAAATCGATAAAAAACGTTGCCTACGATTGACATTCAAAAT